CATGCAGCTCGCTACTGTAGCTCATGCGGCATCTCGATCTTGAACCGGCGGCAAGGAAGAACAAGCTTATCAGCTGTTGATGAGACCGAGGGTCAAGGCGGGCGGCGAAGCGCGACGGAGCTCCGCCTTCGGCACGTCGGCAAGGGGCGATCTACAGCAGTCACGACTCACGAGCACGCGTGACTGCACCCCGTCTGCCCTTCGCATTCAAACGATCACAAGTTCGCTAATCCGCTTGGGGTTCTTAATACAAGCATTTATGCAAGATGTAGCAAAGACAGACACTCAAGGGTAATGGTTTTACCCAAGAACAAGCGATGCGGGCAGAATGAGGTGGCAACGTTGTGCAGAAGAGAAAGCGCAGTCACAACCTACACCAAAGGCTCCTTTCCTGAATCTTTCGGATTGCCCCTCTGCTGGCGGCACATTTCATGGACCTACTCTCATTGACTCTGGGTGCTCATTACAACAAGCTCTCATTACAACAAGCTCTTCTACAATACTACTACTGCTGCTGCCGCTGCTGCAAACTCTGCTGGATGCCGATGTTGCCGCAAGGCACACACGCGAGGCTAGCGCGCACCTCACAGCCTGCCTGCCTCGCCTCCCTGCCGTAATTAGCAACGGCAACGGCTCCTCGCAGCCAACAACAGCATCGCACAGACGGCACACCCGAAAGCGAGAGCGCACAGTCAAGCATCCGCGCACGCCCGGCTTCACAGCCTGCGATGTAGTCATACAGCTTCGAGTGTCACACATGCTCTGCACAGTGATAGTGTTACAAGGGGTCAGGCTAGGACGGAGATTCAAACGAGCATGATTGCAGCTGCGTCCTCGGGCGTGGTGGATAGGTCCAAGGCGTGAAACACTTGGGCTGCGCTTCACGCTCGCCTGGTTGGACCCGAAGATCCATGCCGAAACGGCACCGTCCAGGGCGATGTACAGATTCGTACCTCTTGCATCTCCTCAACGCAGGACAATCACTGCATCGGAGTCTCCCTGAACGCCGAGCGTGCTGCTGTGCTGTGCTGTGCTTTCGCAAGCGATCATTGCCGACGTGGACGATGGCATTCAAATCGACCCTTGTCCCAATGCTGCAATTTGCGCCACGAGCTCTTCACCACGTTCGTCCACAACGATAGCCATATACACAAGCGCTCACTCGTAGCAACAGACGTATGCAAGCAAGATGCGTGCGCAAGCAGCTTTCTACCTGGCTCTGAGCTTCCTGCTTTTGGAC